TTTTGTGTGTGAACTTTTTCATGGGTTTTTACAATAGAGGTCTCATACAATATTTGTCCTTTTGTGATTGACTTATTTCCCTCAGCATAATGTCCTCCAGTTTCATCCATGTTATGAGATGCTTCACAGATTTGTCATTGTTCTTTCTCGTTGCATAGTACTCCATTGTGTGTATGTACCATAGTTTGTTTATCCATTCATGTGTTGATGGGCATCTACGTTTTAACTATTTTCAAAAATGTAGAATGCATGTTTTAATAGTATACTCATGAAAGAGCTGCAACATTTTTCTTTGGAAATAGAATGAGTTGTAGATGAGATTTTCTGCCTCACTGAAGTAGTAGTAGTGAAGGTAATATAAAAGGGAATTATATATTATTAATTAGTTGATATGAATCCATTAATCCTGACAAGTAAATGTCTATGGAAAATATTTTTTATCAAGGCAAAGTGTTAAATTGGCAAACTAGAATCACTCATACCTTCATTTTTCTGCTACAGTGTTGATTTTAATTAGAAAACAAAGAGTGTAAAAGTATTAAGGTAATTGGAAATCAAGTAAGTTGTTGTATACTGTTTCCTTTGTGTATTTTTAGATTAGAATTGAGATAATGTTGCCTTTATAAAATGTATGTTACTTCTGTGGGCTAAATACAGTATCTTGGGTAGAAACACTACATGAATTGAGATAAACTGAATTTGAGTGTAAAATGAGCATTTAAGATGGACTGTATTCTATTGTACAGTTAACTCAGGTACATAATTGAAATAAACAAACAACAACCAAAAGGTATAGTTGTAAAATTATCTATCAGTGTTAAATTTTTCTTTTTCTTTCTTATTTTTTTTTTTTCTGTTTTCTATTTGTTTATTAGGATATCTTCTGAAATAAATTCTGCATTGGTGCTGAAGCTTTCTTGGATCACATTTTTGCTAGCTAAAGGTAAAGTCATTATGTTTATTATATGCTGTTGTGTCAAATATAGTAATTAATTGATAGTTCTTTTGGACTAAAGCCCAAAACTTTTTATTTGATTTAAAGTACATGCATCCTCCCCCCACCCCATTCTCTTATTAACTGTTAGTAAGTTCTGGCAATTCTAGCACTGGGAGCAACCTTGTAAATAATTTCATTTCATTTCTGTTTCTAGTATCTATTCATCTTTTCTTTCTCTCTTCATTTCTTAATTTTTAGAATAATAACATTACTTTTTTATAAAAATGACATATGCTTGTGTTAAATAATTCAAACAATACAAGAAAGAGCAAAGAAAGATGTGAAAAATTACCCAAAATCCACCTAGAAATAATCATAATTAAAATTATGCGATTGTCATTCCAAATATATTTCCATGCATACATTCTACTGAAAAGGTGAGTGGATTGGGTGCATTCACAAACAGAAATAATTTTATAAAAATAATACCATATTATAATAAACCAAACCAAACCTATTGCTGTCGAGTCAGTTCCAGCTCATAGCAACCCTGTAGTACAGAGTAGAACTGCCGCATACGGTTTCCAAGGAGTGGCTGGTGGATTCGAACTGCTGACCTCTTGGTTAGCAGCTGAATGCTTAACCACTGCACCACCAGGGCCCCCATATTATAATACTATCTTTAAAAAAAAAAATTTAATTTGAATTTTACAGAAGAAAAGAAACGAGAAATGGAAGCAGTTGCTTAAATGTAGATGTGCTTTGTCTCATTAAGAGATATTATTTCCTAAAATATTTCTCTATGATTATGAAAAAAGATAATGAAAAGATTAAGAGGTTAGAATCTTTATTTTGTTTAACTTTGTTTTGATTTAAAACAATATATATTACTCTGCTTTGAAGAAAGAGAATATTAACACTCTCACACTTCCTGACACCTCCCCTCTCCCTGTGTTCAGATTTGTTCATTTTATTCTTGCATTATCAAAGATTATAACATTTTACATTCTGTTCTCTAACTGTAATTATTACACTTATTTAGTCTGAATTCTGTTTTAAATGGATTCTAATCATTGTTTCTTTATTATCACGTCTCCATTTCTGAGTTCTTTATTTTGATTAATCTCTTAGCTGGCTGGGTTTTACCATCAAGAAGTTTTTTAAAAAAGGCTCTTTGATGTTGGATTCCCTATGTTTGGCATGTTCAAGAACCACATCTGTAGGTTTTATACTTGATGAGAACTTGGCTATGTGTCCTATTCTTGGTTAAACACTTTGTCACATCCTGTTCTTGGTCATTTTTTGTTTCCCTTAGGACAGTTTTTTCTGGCATCGAACATTGCTGTTGAGGAGTCTGAGGCTAGCTTAATTCCTCCTTATCCCCTCCCTTCCTGAATATCTGAAGAATTCTTTTTTCTTTTTAATTTGAAGTTCAATACTTTAATCAAGATATCTCTTGATTTTTATCATTCTATATCAGTTTTCCTTAAAATGCCAAAAAAAAAAACAAAAAAACCTGTTGCCATTGAGTTGATTCCGACTCATAGTTGACCCTGTGGGACAGAGCAGAACTGCCCCATACGATTTCCAAGGAGCAGTCAGTGGATTCGAACTGCCAGCCTTTTGGTTAGGAGCCAAGCTCTTAAACACCATGCCACCAGTGCTCCAATCTTAAAATGCAGTATCCCTCTGCTCTTCATTTCAGAAAATATAATGAGCCCTGGTGGTGCAATGGTTAAGCTTGGCTGCTAACCGAGAGGTTGGTTGTTCAAATCCACCGGTCTCTCCAAGGGAGAAAAGACCTGGCGATCAGTTCCCACAAAGATTGTTGTTGTTATGTGCCTTGGTGTAGATTCTGACTAATAGTGAACCTGTAGGACAGAGTAGAGCTGCCTCATAGGGTTTCCAAAGCTGTAATCTTTACGGAAGCAGACTGCTGCATCTTTCTCCCGCACAATGTCTGTTGGGTTCGAACCGCAGACCTTTCAATTAGCAGTCCAGTGTTTAACCATTGTGCCGCCAGGGCTGATTACAGCCTATGAAACCGTATGGGGCAGTCCTACTCTGTCATGTGTCACTGTGAGTCGAAATCGACTCCATGGCACACAACAACAACTTTCTCTTAGGTTATTCCATTCTGTTTTAGGAACATCACCTGTCTTATGGTGAATTGTTTTTGTCCTCTATAATTATTATCATCTCTCATATTACTGTAATCGTTTATCTTTTTCTTATGTATTGCCTATTTCTATCACAAGCCTTTCTTTTATTTTGAGCCAAATCATTTTTTGTAATGGTGTTATTTTGGTGCTCAGTTTTTTCTTAGCTCTTTATTTTCATTTAATTTGTGTTCTTTAAGTTCTTTTTAGTGCAGGGACTCACAGGGCGTTTTCTTCTGTTAGATTCTTTTCTGTTAGATTCTGAATGCGGGGAAAGGGGAGGTGGCAGGGAGTGTGAGAGTACTAATATTCTCTTTCTTCAAAGTAGATTAATATATATTGTTTTAAATCAAAACAGAGTTAAACAAAGTAAATATTACAATCTCTTAATCATTTCATAATCTTTTTTCATAACCTTAGAAAAATATTTTAGGAAATATTTAGGTTCTTTTTCTGATTATTTTCCTCTTTTTTTGTTGTGATTTTTTCCTTTTTTTATTTTCTGTAATATGTAATATGCTGTGCTTTTTTCTCCACTTTGCTGAGACTTTATGTGGGCAACCCTGATCTGACATCTGTTTTCTCTGATAGTGTGAGTGAATCCCCCTTCACTCACTTTGTATTTAATGTTACTGGCTCGTTTACCGTAAAGAGCTATGATAGGAGCATAGGCTTTTTTATGACAAGTACTTCTAGTAAGAGGCTGAGGGAGAAAGTGGAGGATTCATCTGGAACGATGTGAGCCTTTGCTGTTATGAGATTTTTGTAGAATGTACTCTGAAACAGAACACTTCCAGTGCAGTTATATGCTATTCCCTAAAAGACTTGTGTTGGTATTCAGATTGTTCCGCACTTCAGCACAGCACACTGGAGTCTGTCAGAAAGCTGTTTGCTTCTTCCATTTTACTCTTCTCTTGTTAGCAATCTCTGCTTTCTCCACGTCAGAAGAGGAAGATGAGGACACTCCCTGAGTCAGTATTTCTCAAAATTCAGTATTGGTACTAATACTTAACCAGTGCATTTTTTTCTCTTTCATTTTATTAGTGTTGGAGGAGGGAGATTCTTTGACCTGATTTCACTCCACTCTTTTTACCTAGAAGTTCTTGATATCATTCTTTACCTCTATGGTACTTCCTAATAACTTACTTTTGAGTATATTGCAAACATTTTTGCACCACACCCATGAACCTAGAAAATCTACCTTATAAATGTTTACCTGTTTTCAACCTAGTTTCTATGCCATCAGTATTTGTTGGGGTTATTGTTGGTTTAGCAGTCAGATGCCTAGAAGATAGTGAGTCCGATTAAACTTCCCTTTTTAAAAAATAATAGGTAGCATAGAAATAAGCAAATATGTAATAATGATATTTGATTATGATTGGTATATTTTGTGTAGCCATATACTTTGTTTTCTTGTGTATGTATTATGTGCATTTATTTCCTTACCCCCCAAATGTGTATTTATTATATTACCTTTTAGCATTTTTACTAACTAATTACTTTATAGACGTTATAGTTACATACAAATATTGTTATTTTTTAATGACTTTGGTTATTGTAATCCTGGGTGGGAGGAAGGGTTAAAACTGAAAATATATGAGGCTTCATAAATAAATAGAATTAAATATTAAATAGAGTCCAAAATTATTTATTGTCTGAAATAATAAATTCCATATCTCTTTCCAAAATTGGAGGTAAGTTTAAAAAAAATAATAAATTGTTCACCTGTAAAAACTTGAATTGGCAAAAATTACGTGATAGATATATTGACAACAATGAGAAAAAAAAAAAGGTAGCTGCTGAGGCTGCTTATGTACAGCCAAACACCTCATGGGAAACACCTCATGGGATTTGGTTCCTTGGTTTGGAAGTTTAGGGTCATGGTTTCATGGAGCATCCCCGTTAATTGACCTAATAACATGTTTAGGGCTTCTGTTCTACCTCCTGGTTTGTTTCGTAGTGTGTGGGGTCTTAAAAGCTCTCAAACAGCCATTAAGGCACAACTGTTATTCTGTATTCGCCTGGAGCAACAGAGGAAGAAGGAGAATCAGCAATAGGAGGAGGAAATGGAATGTGTGGCTAATTGCCTCCATGAACAGCTGCCTCCTTTGCTATGAGACTACCATTACTGAACATTTTGATCAAAGATTCTATAGAAGAATCCTGATCAAAAGTGGGAAAATGCAAAACAGAATTTCAGATTCTCATGGACTCCAGACTTTCTGGAGGCATGGAGGCTGGATGAACCCCCAGAATGATTGCCCCGAGATAATCTTTAAACCTTAAACCAAAATTATCCCCTAAAGTCTTCTTAAAACCAAACAGTAGTTTAGCTTAACTAGCACAGAATGTCTGCCTTGAATATGATCTTTAAAGATCTATCTATATGGGATCAAATTGACAACAGGAACTTGAAAGATTAGATAGGAACCTTAGGGACAGTGAGATTATGTTAATGAGGGAGGAACAACTCAGAAAAAGAGGGTGAGAATGGTTGCACAACTCAAAGAATGTAATCAGTGTCACTGAATTGTACATGTAGAAACTGTTGAATTGGCGTATGTTTTGCTGTGTATATTAACAACAACAACAAAAATAAATTATAAAAAACAAATAAATATAGACATGTTGTTGCTGTATGCCGCTGAGTTGATTCCAACTTATGGTGACCCTGTATGACAGAGTGGAACTGTCCTATAGGGTTTCCTAAGCTGTTAATCTTTACAGGAGTAGATTGCCAAGTCTTTTCCCCCATGAAGCCACTTGTGGGTTTGAACCATGGACCTTTTGATTATCAGATGAGTGCTTAATCATTGTACCGTAAGGGCTCCTAAATATAGACATAGGGACTAACTTGAATGTGAAATTCTCAGGGCAGAGTTATACTTTATTTATAATTTCATAACTTTATATATTTTTGTATAAAGTCAGATTTTGATTTTTTACAAAAAAAAAACTTTAACATGCCTTTAATGATTGTTGAATGAATGAGTATATGTATACACTCATACCTATAATTTTCCTTTACTTAAAGATCTCACTTAAAAATGTGAACCTTTTTTATTTTCAGGGGAAGTATTACAAATGGAAGATGATCTCGTGATCTCATTTCAGTTAATGCTGTGTGTCCTTGACTATTTTATCAAGCTCTCACCCCCTGCATTGCTTAAAGAACCATATAGTAAGTATTTAAATTTATGCCCCTTCTACTTTGTCATTCAACAGTTGTTTATTGAATGTCTGCTAGATACAAAGTATGATTCTAGAGCTGAGAAGATGGTAAAAAATAAATCCGACATGAGCCCTGCCCTCAATTCAGCATCAGATATAGAAGGAAAGGTAAGATATGTAAGCAGATAATTAGAGTACATGGTAGGACGTGGTCTGGGCCAAAATACAGCAAATGCTATGGGAGTCCAGGAGTGGGGGACATTTTTCCAACTGGGGAATACCAAGGAAGACCATTTGGGGGAGGTGGCATTTCAATTGAGCGCTGAAGAGTAGTTAGGATTTGAGTGTCTCGGGGAAGTTGGGGGAGGGCACTCCTAGTAAAGAGAAAATTAAGAGACAAGGCACAGATATGAATAAAACTGCGTGGGAAAGAGTGGCCCATTCTATAGGGACAGTAGCTCAAGTAAGGTTTTATTAGTATGGGATGCTATAATGACGACGTGACTAATTTTTCTTATATATGAACTGTAATTGGTACTATAGTGGGTGATGAAAGGGGAAATATATTTAAATAAAAACAGCAACTATTACTAAAATAATGAGATAGCATTAAGCAAAGATGAATATATTCCTCTTAGAATGGAATTGTTTCCTTTGATTTCAAAATTTCTTATGATACTACAGAAAAATGTAAACTTAACTAGTGATAGGCTGATTGATTCATTGCTCCTGAAATTATTAAAGTTATAATAATATGTTTAAAGATAATTGAGGACATAGATCATACAAGTTTCAAAGTATTGTTGAAGTAACTGAAAGGCTGAAGCCAATTAATCTTTGTGAGCAATAAATTAGTGGAAAAATGAAGTCCGGAGCAGAATTTTGAAAATATGTCAACCATGGTTTGGCAGGGAAGTCAGTCATTTAGCAGAAACCACATGCAAAGTAGAGGGAAAATTTTAAAAAATATATATATAAAAAACAATAAATATACTTCAAAAATTTCTGTAACTTAATTCCTTTTATATACCTTTTCTCACTTTTTTTCAGTGTTATAATGTAATAACTCATGTAGGATGTTAGATTGACAAGCTTTGTTCTTTAGGGTAATTGACATATGCATTTAATTTTCCAAGTACTATGTTAAAGAGAAACCAGGGTGAGGTGTTGAATTAACTGAACATGCCAAACTTTTAATTAACTTTTTATTATAGAAAATGAGTACAAACATAGTTAGTGGTATAGTAAACCTGCATGAACTCATCACCTAGCTTCATTAGATAAGTTATGGTTAGTCTATAGCCCCATCTACTGCCCCCTTCCTCAACTGTGTTATTTTGAAGCACAATTTTGCATGCCATTTCATCCTTATATATTTCAGTATGTCTCTAAAATATAGACTTTTACAAAGCATAACCACAATACTATCATCACACCTACGAATCAATTAATAGTGATTCCTTAATATTATCAAATATCTAGTAATGTTAAGATTTTCAGTTGTCTTATAAATGTAATTAAAAAATTTTTTTACAAGTTGACTCAGAGTCTAAATAAAGTCCACACTTTGTGATTGGTTGATGTGCTTTTAAAGACTCTTGAAAGTTCTTCCTCCATCTCTCTCTCTCTCTTTTACTTCTTGTATTTATTCGTTCAAATAATTAGGTTGTTTGACTGTTGAGTTTCCCATGGTGTAGTTTTTTTTTTTTTTTTAAAGAATTTATTTTATTTTTGTTGTTGTTGAAAATATACACAGCAGAACATACACCAATTCAATAATTTTTACATGCATAATTCAGTGACATTGATTTTTCAAGTTGTGTAGGCATTTTCACCCCATGGTCTAGTTTTTGGTGATTGCATCCTGTGGTATAATTTAACATGTTCCTCTGTCCTCTCAATTTCTTATACATTGGTGGTTGGATCTAGCAGAGTAAACACTTTATATTTAATCATCTGTAATCTCCTTAATAGCTGTATCCACATTCAATTTAAAGTGGGAATGCTCAGAATAGTCCAGGAGATTTAAAAAAAAAATCACAGTATATTATCACATTATTTATATGTATATATATATATTTTAAAGTATCATAATTTACTATGATATTTGCTAAAAACTTTTAAAATTTATTTTTATAGCATGTCTAGAAATTGAATCTATAAATATTTGCTTGTTATCTTTAAAAATCTTTAAAACAGAAAACATTTTTCCCTTTGGAGACTGAGTTGAATACTTTAGAATTAGTTTATAAATTAGCTATTTCCCTGGCTTTCTTTGTGTTAGTCTGTGGGGTTTTGGGTATTTTGCAGTTTCTTTATTGGCCTAGTTGGGGGCAGAGGAGAATTAGGAACGACAGAAACTAATATAATTTATAGTAAGTATTAAATAGATGAAACTGTTATCCTTTAAGTGAAACCTGGTAAGTAAGAGCGGAGTCCCTGCCTGGTGCAAATGGTTAATGCACCCAGCTGCCAGCTGAAAGGTTGGTCATTAAAGGCTCTTCAGTAGTAAGGCCTGATGATCTATTTTTGAAAAATCAGCCATTGAAAATCCTATGTATGACAACAAAAGCATGAGCAGGAAAAGACAAAATAAATAAATGAGACCTCATAAAAATTAAATACTTTTGTTAATCAAAGGACTTTATAAAAAAAATGAAAAGACAACCTACAGATTGGGAGAAAAATTTTGGGAACCATGTATTTGATAAGGGTCTAATATTAAAAATATATAAGAAACTACTACAACTTAACAACAAATAGACAAACAACCCAATCAAAAACTAGCAAAAGACTGGAAAAGACATTTTATCAAGAGGATATTCAAATGGCCAACAAGGATATGAAAAGATGCTCAACATCGTTAGCCATTGTTGTTGTTAGGTCCGTCGAGTCGGTTCCACCTCGCAGTGACCCGACAGAACAGAGTAGAACTGCCGCATAGGATTTCCAAGACGTGGCCAGTGGATTTGAACTGCTGACCTTTTGGTTAGCAGCGAAGCTCTTAACCACTGTGCCACCAGGGCTCCGTCATTATGCCATCATTAGCCGTTAGGGAGATGCAAATCAAAACTACAATGAGATACCACCTTACCCCCAATGGAATGGCAACGATAGGAAAGAAACAAAACAAAACAGAAAACAACAGGTATTGATGAGGTTGTGGAGAAACTGGAACCCTCATCCATTGTTGATGGGAATGTAAATTGGTGCAGCTGCTGAGGAAAACAATTTGGCAGTTCCTTAAAAAGTTGAACGTAGAACTACCTTATGATCCAGCAATCCCAATCCTAGATATCTACCCAGAAGAAGTGAAGGCAGAAACACAAACAGAAACCTGTATGCCAACATGGAAACAACTGAAATGTCCATCAACCAAAGAATGGATGAACAAAATGTGGTCTATACATAAAATACTATATTGTTGTGTTGTTAGGTTCTGTTGAGTCTATTCTGACTCATGGTGACCCTGTGTACAACAGAACAAAACACTGCCTGGTCCTGCGCCGTCGTCACAGTCAATGCTATGTTTGAGCCCATTGTTGTAGCCACTGTGTCAGCCCATCTCCTTGAAGGTCTTCCTCTTTTTCTCTGACCCTCTACTTTACCAAGCATGATGTTCTTCTCCAGGGACTGGTCCCTCCTGTTAACGTGTCCAAAGAACGTGAGACGAAGTCTTACCATCTTCGCTTCTAAGGAGTATTCTGGAGTATTCTAAGGAGTACTCCTTCCAACACAAATTTGTTTGTTCTTCTGGCGGTCCATTGTATATTCAATATTCTTCACCAACACCATAATTCAGATTCATCAGTTCTTCTTTGATCTTCCTTTTTCATTTGTCCAGCTTTTGCATGTATATGAGGTGACTGAAAATACCATGACTTGGGTCAGGCAAACCTTAGTCCTCAAGTTGACGTCTTTGCTTTTTAACACTTCAAAGGGATCTTTTGCAGCAGATTTGCCCAGTGCAATAATACATCGTTTGATTTCTTGATTGCTGTTTCCATGGGCATTGATTGTTGTAAAAATAACTTGGGGGCAGAGTCTGACCTCCTCTAACTTCACAAGGGGGAAGGAAAATCAGTATCAACAGTCCCTGGCTGATTTCTATGAGGTGGAGGTCAGACATGCCTCTTCTCTTCACCATCTTTAACAACTTTGACACCAGCCATCCCTTCCACGGCACACTCTACTGCTTTTGATAATTGATTGCAATGGCTGCACAGAACACACAGTCAATACTCATGATAATTGAGTTTATTAGGGAAGTAACAGTTACAGTACAGGCTCAGGAACACTCAGGATACAGTTCTTCCATCAGGACAGCCTCTTCCCAGCCATGCTCACAGGTATACCTCTCCCTGGCCCTCAGCCTCTGCCAAAAGGCGCTTAGCTTTCTCTCTCCCTAGGCTGAGAATCCCACCACTCAAGGAATCAGCATAGCAAAACCTTTAAGGGACTTTAGGTTTAGTCACTGTATTCGAGTACAGCAGTGCCTCCTCCTTAGTCCATTCTTTCACAGTTACAGCTTCTACAATACATTTTTATAATAACAATTAACCCTGTTAACAATCAACACTCACAACTGAGTCGTACAATCCTATCAGCATCTCCCCCCCAACTCTCTTTCCTAGACCCATCAGGAAAAGAGGGAACTATTTCAGTGGGGATCCTCTCTTGTCCTCCTCATTTTGAGTGTAAGCGCACCCACAAAAGCGTGTAAGCCAGCCACTTCATGCCTTTATCTCCCCCCATTTTAGATAGCAAATTCCTAAATTGCCCATCCCTATCCAGCCAGTACTCTGAGGAGACAAGCATGTTCCTTGGTCTGATGAAATATAACTCGGTGGCCCAAATTGATACCTTGAGTGAGGCTCAGAGCAAAGGGAATAATCTTCTCTCGGTTAAATTTTATCAGACACCAGGAAGGGCGAAGCTGAGATGAACTTTTGGAGAACCTGACGAGCTCAGATGAACACCTGCAGCAGACCTGAATGGCTGGAACCTGAGTAACCTCACCCTTACGACTTTTTGCCCTGTAGGACTAATAGTTAATGACTGTTTTGGACTGGTAAAATGATTGGGAGGAGGAAGTTATCCTCCCAATATGAAAGAACCATGGCTAGAAAGGCCACATGAAAGTGATCCATCACACCACAATTGTGGATCCAAGTAAAATGAAATCCTTTACAACTTCATTATTTTCTCCATTTATGATGACATTGCTTATTGGTCCAGTTGTCAGGATTTTTGTTTGCTTTATGTTAAGGTGTAATCTGTACTGAAGGCTGTAGTCTTTGATCTTCACCAGTAAGTGCTTCAAGTCCGCTTCATTTTCAGCAAACAAGGTTGTGTCATCTGCATATCGCAGGTTGTTGATGAGTCTTCCTCCAATTCTGATGCTGTGTTCTTCTTCATATAGTCCAGCTTCTGGGATTATTTGTTCAGAATACAGACTGAATAAGTATGGTAAAACGATATTACTCAGCCATAAAGAGAAATGAAGTCCTGATACATACTATGACATGGATGTGTCTTGAAAACATTATATTGAGCAATATAAGTCAGTCACAAAATGACAACTACTGTATGATCTCACTTATATGAAATAAGCAAATATATAGAAACCAAACATTATTAGTGATAACCAGGTTTGGAAAGGAAGGGGAAAGGGAGAACTTTAGCTTAGGGGGCATTGGTGGGATAATGTTGTAAAGGATATTAATAAAGGTTGCGCACATGAAGAATGGTAATCAGTGTCACTGAATGATACATGTAGAAATTGTTGAGTTGGCAAATGTTTTATTGTGCATATTTTCACCACAATAAAAAAGAAAGAAAACCCTATGGAGCACAGTTCTACTCTGACACGCATGGGGTTGCTATGAGTCACAGTTGACTCCATGGCAACTAGTAATAAGTAGCAGATGTTACCAAAATTACTTCTGACCTTTTGAGTTAATAATTATAATACTTCGTGTGCAATTGATCTTATCTAACTTACTATTTTTACAGGAACAGCTGTGATACCTATTAATGGTTCCCCTCGAACACCAAGACGAGGTCAGAACAGGAGTGCACGGATAGCAAAACAACTAGAAAATGATACAAGAATTATTGAAGTTCTCTGTACAGAGCAGAAATGTAACATAGATGAGGTAATTTAACCTAATGATTTTTTAAGAACCATTAAAGTAGATTTAGATGTAAATTCTGCCTAGCAGTATATACTTTTTGTGATGAGCATCCATTTTGTAGTTAGTGCCAACTCTTGCAGTAGCCAAATGTTAAGAAAAAATTTCATTTTCATATTTAGTTGCTTTGATTTTAAAAGAGTAGCTCCCTCACTTTGGAATCTTTGATATGTCTATCATTAAAAGAATAGTTTTCAGATTTATTAGTTCTTTGATTCCTCTGAGGTTTACTGAGACCCCCTAATGTTTTAAAGTACCCTGCTAAGAAAACCCTATTGTTTTGGCTTAGTGATAACTGACACCAACATCACATTTTGTTCAGCCTTCTGTAAGTACTTTTGCCTTCTAAACATTACACCAGATGCTGATGGCTGGTAGAGAGTACACATGAGGATCTAGCAATTACTTATTGTTCATAGAATCTGGAGTATTGAAACTGGTAGGAATCTTACAAATAATGTACTCAGACTGTTTTAGTATGAGTAAACAGCTTTCAGAGTCTGATAGCTAATTAATAATAGAGTCTAGACTAGACTTTGGGATAGCTGGTCCCAGTGCTCCTTTCACTCTACCATGCTGTTTCTCTGTTAGATTTTTATATTCTCCACAATTCACCACCACCAGATAACTATGAAATGCTGCAGCTGTGTCTTTGAAATTTCCGTGTTAACTCTGGGAATGAATAGAGATTTGGTCCCAAAGTCTAGTTTAAGAAGTATTAGAATGATTTATCAAGATATTTGGTTTTAGCACTGTGATTTTTGTTAATTTCAACAATTTAAAAATGTACATATAAGTGTGTGTGTATGGATGTGTGTGTAGATATACATGTACATATATGTGTATATACATACACACACACATATATAATTTTCCTAGTTTTCCAGAATCACAAATTATCTTTGCTGATAAACAGACAGCTGTAGTTGAAATATTTCTTTCTACTCCAGTTCTCTTGCGTAATCTATCAAGGTAATGAGTAGGAGTAATTCCTGGATTTCTCTAGATTTCAGAACTACTTGTAAAATTTCATTTTTAAGATTAAGAATAAATCAGTTGTTACTTTAATTTTAAAGAACCCATTCTTATTAATGTAGAATCTTTCAGCTGCTAACCAAAAGGTCAGCAGTTCGAATCTACCAGCCACTCCTTGGAAGCCCTATGGGGAAGCTCTACTCTGTTCTCTGGGGTTACTATGAGTCAGAATTGACTCAACAGTAGCAGGTTTGGTTTTTTGGGGCACTATAGTCATGATTTTAGAAGTACAGTTGATTGAAAACTTTTTAATTAATTGACATTTGGTTATTTGCATAGAGCATTTATGGTTAGATAACTATTGGTTAATCGTACTAGTTGGTTAACCACAACTATGACCTTATAAAATTTTAAGCAAGTGGGAGTTCAGTAGAAAACAAAACTAGTAAGTATTTCAGAGGCTTAATTCTCACAACTTACTTGTGAAGTAGAAGGTAGTAACTGGTATTAAATTATGTCCACCTTAATAAATGTCGACTCCAATTTTGGAAAAAGAAGTTAAATTAAGACAAGTAAGTTGTTTAAGATTCTATAACACATTGCAAGTATAGAATAACCAGATTTTCTGAGTATGGTCTATTACCCATATTAATTGTAGGGTGCTTTGGTGTGAAACAATGCATAATTCCATGAAACATTTTTATTTAGCTTTTGAAATGAATTATAAGGTATTATTTTTGTCTGTGTTAACAGTTTTTATAAGAAAATCTATTTTCCTAAATTTCTGCTAAAAAACGGAATTGATATTTCCTGTTCCGGTATCATCTGAACATGTGTGTGAAGTAGCCCAAAGATATATATGCTTTGGGGAGACATCAGAGGCAGTGCAGAGAAGTGAAAGAGCCTTGGCTTTGGTGGTAGACGTAGTGGGTTCTCATTCCACCTCTGCCATGGCCAGTTGTGTAACTTTGGTCAAGTTGCTTAATTTCTTTGAGTCGCCCCTCTTTTTATCTATGTGTTAAGTGTGGAATATTAAAGCTGGTTTCAATGGATTCTCTTCACATAAATCCCATTTTGTTAACAATTCCCCACTTTATCTCCATTTGAGGACCTGAAATCTGCCTCATGTAAATTAAAAAATAAATCATTGAGTTAATTATGAATAAGTATCACTCCAGCTTGAATGTGTGTCATTGATCAAAGTATGTCAGTTAGCACTGTCATTCTAGGGTTGATATGTGACAGAGATTAAATTTTGGTTTTTAAAAAATTTTAATGGTTGTTTTCAAACTGTTTTTTTCAGGTGAAAAATGTTTATTTCAAAAATTTTATACCTTTTATGAATTCTCTTGGAATTGTAGCTTCTAATGGACTTCCAGAGGTAATCTGAAAGAAAATTTAGTTTAAAAAATTAATATATTTTGAGACTTTTAGGCGGGGGATAGTTGTCTAAATTTCTTATATCACTTTGCTGTGTATTAAATGTTACCTTGCCCAAGGAAAGCAATCTAGCTACATAGAATTATTGTGAAACCAACTTTTATATTGTTGTTGTTGTTAGTTGCTGTCAAGTCGGCTCCAACTTCTGGCAACCTCATGTATGCAGAGTAGAACTTCTCTATAGCGTTTTGAAGGCCATATGTGACCTTTTGGAAGCAGATCACCAGGCTTGTCTCCTGGGGTGCCTCTGGGTGTGTTCAAACTGCCAACCTTTCAGCTCTTGGTCGAGCACTTAACTGTATGTGCCATAGCAACAAAAAACCCTAAACCTTTTTGAATATAGACTGTGCTAAAAAATATACTGTATACAAAGAATCTTATACATTTGTAGTATTGTTTTCCCTTAAAAAGGATTACAAATTTTAATAAAAATCTTAACGGAAACTTTATATTTTCCCCAGTATTTTGCATATAACTTTACTAGCTGCCAGTTAATTTGTGATGGATAATTAGCGCCTCAGTAAGGTAGAGCAGGGAATCCCTAGGTAGTGCAAACGGTTAACGCACTTGGGTGCTAACTGAAAGGTTGGAGGTTCGAGCCCACACAGAGGTGCTTTGGAAGAAAGGCTTGGAGATCTACTTCCAAAAAAATTAGCCATTGAAAACCCTATGGAGCACAATTCTACTCTGAGTTGTAATTGACTTGATGGCAACTGGTAACTGGTAAGGTAGGACAAGAACAATGATTAAACTTATCTGAGCATGAATGACCATTCTGCCTAATGTACTTACGCACATGAACAAAAAGTTTACATTTAACTGAATTTCTTCATATCACTCCTTTTAGAGTGCAGTTTTAGTTCTCTCAGGTCAGAAACACCTTAGCTTTAAAAGTCACAGCAGAAATCATGCCAAATAGTTATCTATTGGACACTGATTTTAAAATTATAGTTAGAAAATCATGGATCAGAATTGTTGTAAGATTTACAGATTCTAGCAATTGAAAAAGTGTCCAAGATTAGGAGTAAATCATACAAGTTTGTTAATTGGGCTAGTTAATGGAGCTAATTCTCTTGCCCATGATACTTAACTGAAGGAAGCTGGAAGGAACCAAAGGGTTTAGAAAAGATTGGCCAAATATATAATCAAGAGAATTTGTTATAATGTTTGAAAAATGCTTTATTGTATATTGATAAGTATAGTAGAAGTTATTAAAGGTGAGGGCTATGTGGGTTGTTTTTGAGCGTCTTGACAACTTTATGGTTATTATAATACCTATTTTAATCTTAAATACTATTGTGTGGCATTAGTGATCTTTGTCTGCATAAAATTCTAATAAATGGGGTACATGCATAAAATATGAATTATATTTGGAAAAAAATGTTTTGTATACTTTTAGATAGACCTTATTTATACTGCATGTGAACTCAGTGTATATTATAAAATTAAACATATACTGTACAAAAATTCTTTAATTAAATCTGTGCTTCTGTGTACCAAGAGATATAATGACACAAAAAGGATAATTGTCAGTACTTTTTCTTTTGAGGTTGAAAGTCTCTCTAAACAGTATGAAGAAATTTACCTTAAAAATAAAGATCTAGATGCAAGATTATTTTTGGATCATGACAAAACTCTTCAGGCTGATCCTATAGACAGGTATTGTACATGGTATATATTTGTTGATACGCTTTTGATGTAGGTAGGTTTTTATATAGACTGATTACATAGATTTTAATTTAACTTAGTGATCTTCAAATATTACTCATAATAAATAATGCTTTTATATGAAGTTAGTAATAAGCAAAGGTTAACAGTATTCTAAGCATATAATTTATTAACAAATAGGGAATTTGAATTGTTCTCTATAGGAATTATCTTTTTCTCAGTTATCTGAATATAATAATCAAAGGTTAACAGTATTCTGAGCATATAATTTATTAACAAATAGTGAATTTGAATTGTTCTCTATAGCAATTATCTTTTTCTCAGTTATCTGAATATGGTTTGTAAAATGCACACCCAAAGAGAATTGTTGAAGTAATTAGTTTACTCAAGCAGTGGTCTCTGTTTTTTCTCCACCCTTTTATTTTATCTATTGGAAACCCTGGTGGCGTAGTGGTTAAGAGCTACAGCTGCTAACCAAAAGGTCAGCAGTTCAAATCCATGAGGCACGCCTTTGAAATTCTATGGGGCAGTTCTACTGTGTCCTGTAGGGTTGCTATGAGTCGGAATTGACTCGACAGCAATGGGTTTGTTTTTTTTAATCTATTATTGCCTTCCTCATTTATTTATGTATTTTTAAGTTAATACGACAGTATTTTCTCTTGAATTATCATGTAGAATCCTCAAATAGGAATGGTTGGGAGTAATTATAAAAAATATTGTAGAGTTAATAAGTAAAGTTAACTTTATGTCTTTAGTATGAAATCTATTAATATGTAACTGAAAATATTGTATGTAATTTGGAAATTAAACACAAGTAAAACGTGACTAATTTTATTTAATTGGCAGTAAATTTTTGGAAGGCATGCTGCATTGAAAAACTTGAGTTTTGATATGTTTTAATACCAAACAACTTGGATATTAGTAGAATTCTCAAAGATTGGTGTGCCTGCTTGTCATAACCTAGGGAAAAGAAACCCACACTTGAAAACAATGACGAAAAATAAAATTTTATTCATTTAAGCAGCTTTTGGGTCATCTATCTCCTGTCACTTCCGTTATTGGATTACCATTTTGTATGATGTTACGAGGCAATAGAAGGTATTATATTGCTTTTTTGACTCATAAAACGCAAATTGTAAATTTTCAATATTAATGACTTTGCTGATCATTATTTAGTTTTGAAATGCAGAGAACACCACGAAAAAGTAACCCTGATGAAGAAGTGAATATGATTCCTCCACAGACTCCAGTTAGGTATGATTTTTTTCTGCTTTTGCTTTTCATTTGAATTATTTATTCAGTGCTTTAGGTTTGTTCATTTGTTTCATCATATACTCATGCATAGATGCAACAGACATATACTGAGTGTTCCTTGTGTGCCAGGTGTTAGTTGCTGAGGATGCTATTAGACCTAGTTCTGTCTGTCCTTAAGGAACATAGCTGTAACCCAGTAGCATCAGAACTCGTCTCGGTTTCCGAGGGACAGGAGTCAGATCAGCACAACGCTGGTTTCTATGAGATGGAGGTCAGACATACCTCCATTCTCCAACTTCTTCACCATTTCTGACATCGGCCGTTCTGTTCTTAGCTGAGTTTTATGGCCACACACAACTCACAGACCATACTCACAGTTCTGTGATTTATTAGGGAAGTAACAGGATACAGCTCAGGAGACAGGATGCAGTTCATCAGTCAGGACAGCTTTCAACCAGGACAGCTCTCTCAGCTGCTCTCAGCCAGGCATGCAAGCAGGCTGCCCTTCTCGGCTGTGCACGTGCCCTTCTTGGCTGTGTGTGGCTGTCTGTCTTTGGCTACCACTGTGCTGCCCAGGGGAACTGCATGGCCCCTAAGGCTTCTGCTCTGCTGCTGGGTCTTGATGGTCATTGCCTCGTTAATGCGAATACTCCTGCACAGGATCTCCCGAGTCTGTGCCCCTGAGCCCTTCTAGGCCTTAGCTCTCAGCATAACTGGGGCATCTGATGCAGCCAAAGTCGAGCCAGCTCAGCCTCCACACTGCTGCTTCCTCTGATACAGCGTTTGCCTGTATGGGCCTGGACTGCAGCTGCTTCCTCTTTACAGGGCACCCAGCTCCATTGGTGACCCCCTGCCTGGAGGTACCCAGCTCTGCTCATTGGCCAACTCGCCCACCACTGCCGTCTGCTGGTCATGTGGTTCCCAACACTCATACTGCTTCCACCTTTTCTCTGCTGCTTGGCTTTGCTGTGCTTGCTCCCATTTCTCTACCACTTCCTGCTGTGTTCAGTGTTACAACTCTCTCTTCTGGGTCTAGGAGGTTCTCAGCTCAGGGATTCTGGGTCCTAAGGACGTGTTGTGCTCCAGACTCTTCTTGATGGTAGTGAGATCTCCCCTCCACTCTGTGGGGTTGGCTGCTTATGTAAGCAAACTCGTCGATTTCAAGGCATGGCCTTCCCAGCAGGACCACAAACTGACAATCACCACACATCACTCAGTCCTGTTGGATGGATTTTCAAGCCACTACTTGCATGGAAAATTGACCAATCCCTGCCATGTGTGTTAAATAGACCAATTACAGGGCAGAGTGAGGCCCAACCAGTCATTTTCAGCAGAATTACAAACCCAAGGCCAGAAAGGCCATATATAAGAGAAACCCATTGCACTTCAATAACCTAAAATGGGAATCTCTTCTATCTTAGTAAACAGTATCACCATTTACTCTGCATACAGCCTGCAAGGATTACAACCATTTTTTTAAGTCCTTTTCCTCACTCCTCACATCTAATTTGTTATCAAGTCTTGTTGAATCTACCTCCAACATATTTCTTGAATTCAGTATTGTGCCCCATTTCTAGTTTCACTCCCCTCATTCAAGACATCTTTGTCTTTCTTTTGGATTTTTTACAGTAACCTTTTAACTGATCTTGAGCTTCTGCTCTCATCACTGTTCCTATCACCCTGTCACCAAATCCATTCTTCACAAGAGCCTCCAGAATAATATTCTGGAAATGTAAATCCGATCATCTTCACTCTGCTGTTTAAAACTGTCTGATTGCTTACCTTTACAATTGTAATGCAATGAAAATTTCTTAACAATGCTGATAAGGCCTTATATGATCTGGCTTCTGTTGCCTCTCCAGTCACATCTTGTTTTCTTTTGCTCACTATGTGTTAGCCTCATAGAGCTCATTAAGTTTCTCGAGCTCTCCAAACTCTTTTGTACTAGAGAAGCTTCACACTTGGTAGTCTCACTTCTTGAAACTCTTCCTTATTTTCTTCCCATGGATTACTAACTGCTACTCTTCCTTTAGGTTCAGCACAAATACTGCTTTTTCTAAAAGATTTGTTTCTCTTGGAAAATCTATTCTTCTTCCTCATAGCATTCTGTTCTATTCCTTCACAGCGTGTATCACAATTCATAATTATAAATTTGTATGTTTGCTTGTTTTTTACCAATACTCACAGTAGTCTTCATGTTCAATACCACATGGAACATGACTTTTTTTCTCATTAATAATTAATTTTTTCAATAATTAGGGCCTAGTACTTGGTACCCCAGGCATCTGTCAGTTTGTTGTACTGTGGTAGCTTTCGTTGTTTCTGTGAAGCTGGAAGCTATACCACCAGTACTCTAATATCACAGGGTCACCCATGGTGGACAGGTTTCATCTGAGCTTCTAGACTAAGACAGACTAGGAAGAAGGACCTGGCTGTCTACTTCTGAAAAACATCAGCCAGTGAAAACTTTATGAATAGCAGCAGAACACTGATGTAGTGCCAGAAGATAGGCCCCTCAGGTTGGAAGGCACTCAAAATATGACTAGAGAAGAGCTGCCTCCTCAAAGTAGAGTCAACCTTAATAACATGGATGGGGTCAAGCTTTCGGGACCTTCATTTGCTGATGTGACATGACTCAAAATGAGAAGAAACAGCTGAAAACATCCATTAATAATAGCAATGTGGAATGTACGAAGTATGAATGTTGGAAAGTTAGAAAACATCAAAAATGAAATATAATGCATAAACATTGATATCCTAGGCATTAGTGAGCTGAAATGGATTGGTATTGGCTGTTTTGAATTGGAGAATCATATAGTCTGCTATGCTGGGAATGACAAAGAGGCGTGATGTTGCATACATTGTCAAAAAGAACATTTCGGTATCTATCCTGAAGTACAGTGCTGTCAGTGATAGGATAATATCCATATGCCTGTAAGGGCAACCAGTTAATATGCTGTTATTCAAATTTATGTACCAACCACTAAAGCCAAAGATGAAGAAATTGAAGATTTTCACCAGCTTCTTCAGTCTGAAATTGATCAAACATGCAATCAATATGTACTGATAATTACTGGTGATTAGAATGTGAAAGTTGGGAACAAAGGAGAAGGATTGGTAATTGGAAAATACAGTCTTGATGATAGAAACAATGCCGGAGATTGCGTAACAGAATTTTGCAAGACCAATGGCTTCTTCATTGCAAATACCATTTTTCACCAACATAAATGGTCACTATACACGTGGACCTCACCAGATGGAATACACAGGAATCTAATTGACTGCATCTGTGGAAAGAGATGATGGAGATGCTCAATATCATCAGTCAGAATAAGGCCAGGGGCTGATTGTAGAACAGATCATCAATTGCTCATATGCAAGTTCGAGCTGAAGCTGAAGAAAATTAAAACAAGTCCACGAGAGCCACAGTACAACCTTGAGTATATCCCACCTGAAGTTAGAGACCATCTCAAGAACTGATTTGATGCATCGAACACTAATGACCAATGACGAGACAAGTTGTAGAATAGTATCAAGGAATCATACATGAAGAAAGTAAGAGGTCATTAAAAAAGACAGGAAAGAAAGAAAAGACCAAAATAGATGTCAGAAGAGACTCTGAAAGTTGCTCTTGAACATAGAGTAGCTAAAGTGAAAGGAAGAAATGATGAAGTAAAAGAGCTGAACAGAAGATTTCAAAGGGCTACTCAGGAAGACAAAGTAAAATATTATAATGACATATGCAAAAATCTGAAGTTAGAAACCCAAAAGGGAAGAACACACTTGGCATTTCTCAAGCTGAAAGAACGGAAGAAATTCAAGCCTGGAGTTGTAGTATTGAAGGATTCTATGGGTAAAATATTTGAATGACACAGGAAGCATCAAAAGAAGATGGAAAGAATACACAGTCACTGTACCAAAAAGAATTGGTCAACATTCAGCCATTTGAGAAGGTAGCATATGATCAAGAACCTATGCTACTGAAGGAAGAAGTCCAGGCTGCAATGAAGACATTGGCAAAAACAAGGCTCTAGGAATTGACGGAATACCAATTGAGATGTTTCAACAAATAGATGCAGTGTTGAAACTGCTCACTTGTTTATGCTAAGAAATTTGGACGACTTCTACCTGGCCAACCAACTGGAAGAGATCCATATTTATGCCTATTCCAAAGAAAGGTGATCAAACAGAATGTAGAAATTACCAAACAATATCATTAAACTCACACACAAGTAAAATTTTGCTGAAGATAATTCAAAAACAATTGCAGCAGTAACTACATCAGCAGGGAACTTCCAGAAATTCAAGCCAGATTCAGAAGAGGACGTGGAATGAGGAATATTATTGCCGATGTCAGATGGATCCTGGCTGAAAGCAAAGAATACCAGAAAGATGTTTACCTGTGTTTTATTGACTATGCAAAGGCATTCGACTGTGTGGATCATAACAAATTATGGAAAACATTACAAAGAATGGGAATTCCAGAGCACTTAATTGTGCTCATGACCAAGAGGCAGTTGTTCGAACAGAACACAAGGATACTGCATGGTTTAAAGTCTGGAAAGGTGTACATCAGGGTTGTATCCTTTCACCCTACTTATTCAATCTGTATACTAAGCAGATAACCTGAGAAGCTGGACTATATGAAGAAGAACATGGCATCAAGATTGGTGGAAGACTCATTAATAACCTGCAATATGCAGATGACACAAGCTTGCTTGCTGAAAGTGAAGAGGACTTGAAGCACTTACTGATGAAGAACAAAGACTACAGCCTGCAGTATGGATTACACCTCAACATAAAGCAGACAGAAAAACTCACAACTGGACTAATAAGCAACATCATGATAAATGGAGAAAAGATTGATGTTGTCAAGGATTTCATTTTACTTGGATCCACAATCAATGCCCATGGAAGCAGCAAATCTGCTGCAAAAGACTTCTTCAAATTGTTGGAAAGCAAAGATATCAGTTTGAGGATTAAGGTGTGCCTGACTCAGG